AGAGCGCCTTTCACGTTGGGAGGACGTCCCAAAGCGCTGAACAGTCAGATGTCAAGGCCCGAGCATTGAGGAGGGGTGGGGTATGAGGGGTGGGGGAGGGGTGAAGGAAGGTAGAGAGGTGGGAGGGAGGCCAAAGGCACGGTCGAAGAGAAGGGTCTTGAGACCGACCTTGAAGGAGGTGAGGGAGGAAGCGAGGCCAAGGGACTGTGGGATGGAGTTCCAGAGTGTGGGGGCAGAGAGGCTGAAAACCCGGCCACCGATGGTAGGGCAGGTCGGGCGGGAGATAATAATAATAATAATAATAATCCTTGCATTTGATATAATAATAATAATAATAATAATAATCCTTGCATTTGATATAATAATAATAATAATAATCCTTGCATTTGATATAATAATAATAATAATAATCCTTGCATTTGATATAGGGCTTTTCACGTCGGGAGGACGTCCCAAAGCGCTTCACAGAACACACTGTAAAGTGAATTGACTGTATATTTGTGGGCGAACGCGACAGCCAATTGCGCACAGCAATGTCCCACAAACAGTCGTAGATTGAATATGACCAATTTATTATTGTTTTGGTTTTGGAGGGATTATTATTAGGCTCTGTGTGGAGTAAGGAAACTTGCCCGAGCTTTCGCCCTCTGCCTGGAATTGAACTCAGGTCTCCAGGAGTGGGCAGGTTGGTAGGGAGTCAGCAGATCAGAGAGGTAGGAGGGGGCAAGGCCATGGATGGCCTTAAAGGTGAGGACGAGGATCTTGAACTCGATCCTCTGGGGGATGGGGAGCCAGTGGAGTCGGGTGAGGGTGGGAGTGATGGGGTCACTGGTGCACGAGAGTACATAAGCTGCAGAGTTTTAGATGATCTGCAGTTTGTGAAGGGAAGAGTTGGGAAGGCCGATGAGGACGGAGTTCCTAATCGAGCCTTGATGTGACAAATGTGTGGGTGAGGGTTTGGGGGCCTGAGGGGTGAGGCAGTGGCGGAGTCTGGCAATGTTGCGGAGATGGTGGTGGGCAGTGCCGGTCATGGCGCGGATGTGGGAGAGAAAGGACAGTTCAGGGTCAAACAAGACCCCCAGGTTCCTGACCGGCTCAGTGAGGGTGAGTGTGCAGCCGTGGAGGCTAATGCTGCCAACGCCCGAGGTGCGGAGGCGCTGACGCGAGCCAATCAGGAGGGCCTCTAAGCACAGTGTGTAGTGTACGCACAGTGTGTGTGTGTAGTGTCAGCACAGTGTTTGTGTGTGTAGTGTACGCACAGTGTGTGTGTGTAGTGTCAGCACAGTGTGTGTGTGTAGTGTACGCACAGTGTTTGTGTGCAGTGTCAGCACAGTGTGTGTGTAGTGTCAGCACAGTGTTTGTGTGTGTAGTGTCAGCACAGTGTTTGTGTGTAGTGTACGCACAGTGTGTGTGTGTGTAGTGTACGCACAGTGTGTGTGTGTGTAGTGTACGCACAGTGTGTGTGTGTGTAGTGTACGCACAGTGTGGCAGGAGGAGGGTTGAGCGGGTTGTGTTAGTGAAGGTATTGATCTGTGTGGATCTCCGATAGATGTGTCCGTTGGTGTAACTCGCGCTGCTCTCTCACACTGACAGGTAGTGCCTGAAAGGGAAATCCAGGTGCCAGGTGAGATGACAATAATCACCTGTCCCCCTTTGGGGCTTTGCTGCCAACAGCTTTTTGTAGGATTTCCTTGTGTTTTGAAGAGCTGGGTCGTGATCTGTGGTTTGAATGTGGAACCAGTTTCCTTCCAGGACATTTTGCTCCTGACCAGCGTTAGATAATCAGCCGTTATGGACCGGCCAATAAAATACATTTTTTCGTGAATTCATATTTCTTGATTTATGACCCGAATCAGGAAACATTCAATCAAAAAAAGCCCAAAATAATCAAACACAGACTTACATTTCGCCCACAAAATATACAGTCAAACTCACTTGACAGTGTATCCTGTGAAGCGCTTTGAAACGGATCGAAAATAAGTGCTAAGGCGCTAACATCAAATGCCAGGATTATTGAATGCGAGATTCCTTAAGGAAAACAGGCTCATTATTGGGAGGGGGGGGGGACACCTCACCGGACACGGAACACCGTGACGCTGACCTGAGCTCCCACGGGAATCCTCCAAACGACTATCCTCTCCCACCAGATTAGCCGCGTGAGGTGAGCGGAGAGCAGATTGCTCCCAGCGCAGGTCTGAAGGCTGGATGACAACCTCAGTTAGTCAGTGGATGTTCTCAGAAGAGAGAAGCGATGGCAGTCTCGCTCACCTCCCAAAGAGGCAGAGGCCAGACAATGTACTGTAGACCAGCTGTCCAACTCACTGGAGCAATGTGCCGACAGCTATTCCTCTAGACTACGAGTCAGCTTTGTGCTGTGGCATCCCCAGCCTGCCTTGAGGACAGGTTACCCGCTGGCCTGTCGCTGCCGCGGCTGTGAAACATTAAACACAAAATACAATAATACATGGAGAGACATCACCAAACCCCATGGTCGGCAGCACCAGCGGCTCCACGGCAGAAATACAGGACGTAAAATTAATAACAATCCTCGCATTTGATACAACAGCAAGATTACATGTGTATAGCGCTTTACACGTCGGGAGGATGTCCCAGGACGCTGGATAGTGACAGCATTTCAGACCCGAGCTGGGGTCAGGGGGGAGAGGGGAGGGGAGGGGAAGGGGGGTGGCCGATGGCACGGTCGAAGAGGAGGGTCTTGAGAAGGGACTTGAAGGCTAAGGAGGGGGCGAGGCGGAGTGACTGGGGGATGGAGTTCCAGAGGTTGGGGGCAGAGTGGCTGAAGGCTCTCCCGCCTATGGTGGGGCAGGTGGGTCGGGGGACGTGGAGCAGCCAGAGCCGGCTGAGCGGAGGGAGCGGGTGGACTAATAGGGGGTTAGGAAGGAGGGAGGAGTTGGGAAGGCCGACAAGTAGGGCGTTAACAATGCCTTATCACGTCGTTGAGATGTCTCAAAGCGCCTCACAGGATACACTGCAAAGTGTAGTGACTGTGCTTTGTGGGTGAAACAATTGCGGTAGGCAGTTGCGCACAGCGATGTCCCACAAACAGTCGTGGATTGAGGAACCAAATTCTTCTTATTATTTTTTTGGGGGGAGGGATTATTACGTACGAAAAGTGATCCGCCAATCGACTAACAACCGGGTTTCTACTTCCAGCGAGGTCAGCAGAGGCGTGTGCGTGTGTGTGTGCGCGTGGTGTGTGTGCGTGTGTGTGGAGTAAGGAAACTTGCCTTATTTAGAAATAGTGTATTCTAGACTTATGTTTACAATATCCTCTATCCCCTCTCCTCCTCCTCCCCTCTCCCCCACCCTCCGTCCTCCCCCACTCCCTCTCTCCCCCTCCCCCCCCTTTCTCCCCTCCACCCCCTTTGCTTTGTGGTCAGTGAAGCATTCTCCTCGGATGTCAGATGACAGACAGACGCACTGTCAGATGGCTGTAGCTAGTTGCTAGATCCAGACATTGTCACTCTCTTGCTCTCTATTTCTCCAGACTTCCTTCACCCGAGCAAACACGAACAAGGCAAGGGAGCTGTAACATTTTATGTTACGGTGGGGAGGGAGGGAGACGAGGGTGAGAAAAGGCTTAACATCGCTTCTTAAACTGCACGATTGATCATGTGTTGAGGATGTGGAGGGGAGAAGCAATCACAACAGGTTGGCTCTGACAGCTGATACCTTGGGAGCTGTCAACAGGGAGACGAGGGGACCATCATCACACAGGCAGTGTGGACCTTGGCATCACAATGTGTTTCTGTCACGCACCAAATCATTGCAGGTTTGGATCAACTCCAACACCTAGACATTGTCAGACTCCGCCACTGTCAAGCACCTCCAGGACCTGCCCCAGGTGACGGGCGCTATATAATAATAATAATAATCCTTGCATTTGATGCGGCGCCTTATCATGTCTTCGAGACGTCTCAAAGCGCTTCACAGGATATACTGTAAAGTGAATTGACTGTATATTTGTGGGCGAAACGCGGCAGCTGATTGCAGACAGCAGCGTCCCCACAAACAGCTGTGGATTGAAGTGACCAATTTTATTATTGTTTTTTTCTTGAGGGATTATTATCAGGCGAGTGTGTGGAGTAAGGAAACTTGCCCAAGGTTTTGCGCTGCCAGGAATCAAACCCAGGTTTCTCGCTTGCGAGGCGAGTGCTCTACCGACTGAGCTACAGAAGTCCTGAAAGGCAGAATAACCTACACCGGTGCAGAGGAACATATAACCAACCAAACATCTCGTCACAATGTTTAATAAATGCAAGTTGTTGTTGTTGAAGTGAGCTGCCAGCCACACTCCTCCTACGTCATCAGGATGTGATATATCTGTTCCCAAGGAAGTGTAACGGGATCTTACTGGGTTTCCAATCTGATCCCAGAGGCAGGGCGTCCCATGGAATTCTTAATAAGGATTCCCATCCGGGATGGGCCCAAACCTTAGGCAAGTTTCCTTACTCTACACACATACCCACACACACACAGAGACACAGCCACACCCACACACACACACATATGCACACACTCACCCATACACTCACCCACACACAAGCACATGCACACACACACACACACACACGCCCCTCTGTTTATCCGGCAGTCGGTAGGAACCTGGTTGTCAATCGATTGGCGGATGACTTTACCCGGGAGTAATAATCCCTCCAAAAAAATAAACAAGTGAATAAGAATTTGGTCACTTCAACCCACGGCTGTTTGTGGGGACGCTGCCGCGTTTCGCCCACAAAACACACAGTCGCTACACTTTACAGTATATCCTGTGAAGCGCTTTGAGACGTCTTGAAGATGCGATGAGGCAGGCGCTGTATCAAATGCAAGGATTATTACTACTATTATTATTGTTATTATTCTCCGCCGACATTCACTGAGAAAATGTAGTGATCCTTGAGGAAAGTGGGGACCAGTTCCCACTCCCCCGTCCCCTTCACCTCTCTAGCTCTGACTCTCTCTCTCTCTCTCTTGGTTAGGTGCGAGCGAGTGCCATTGCCCAGGATGCTGATCAGAACTATGATTACGCCAGTAACACGGTGATCCTGCACCTGGACGTCGGGGACGAGGTCTACGTCAAACTCGATGGCGGCAAAGTGCACGGCGGCAACAACAACAAATACAGCACCTTCTCTGGGTTCATCATCTACCCCGACTGACACCCCTCCCCCACCCCCTCCCCCCACCCCACTCCCAACCCCAGGCCCAACAAGGCACCACCTTCACGCTCCTTCACACAGTCGAACGGAGCCTGGAATTGGCAACCACCCCCCCTCCCCAATCCCATTCACAAACCCAATCCCATTCCCAATCTCCAAACCCAATGGGTCCATATGGAATCTCTCGAGTTTCATTCCTCACACAGCAGTTGGTATGATTTGTGCTGGAGCTCACCCACACTGAGGTTTCCTGTCCTGTGACAGGTCGGCCATTGACAGTGGTAAACACTTGAGGTGTCATTGGTGTTTAGTGTGGAATCCCAAAGCCATGAGCGAATGAATGGCCATTAGAGATGTCCTTTGCACCTTGCTGTTTCAGGCGAGTCTCTGTGTGTGTCCGCAATACGTTTGTTTTGTCCTTTTTATTTCAGCCCCAAAATTCTCGACCTTGATTGTGCGCTTTCTGCAGCTAACGGTTCCATTCTTAGATAATCCCCAAAGGTCGAGAGTAGGATTGTGCACCCATTCTGTCAGTCTTGGAAAATAGTCCCCCCTCTCTGCCTTCACCTCCCTCGCTTACCCACTCCTCGCTCATCCCCTCCCTCCCCCCTCTCTTCCCCCCTCTTCATCCCACCCCCCACTCTGCACTTTAAGCTCCTTCCCTTCAGATGTTAGCTGTGGAATTGGAGTTATTGGAGAAAAAGGTAAAGCAAAGATTCCTCCTAAAGGTGAGGTTAGAAATGTGGGAGCGCAGCAGCGCAGGGCAATACTCCCGCTCCTGCTTTCCTCCTGGGAAGCTCTTCCTTGCCAGCCGGCAAAGCATGATGGGCCGAATGGCCTCCTTCCCCTCGAAGCTTTGGAATGGCATCACTCAGTCTTCCCTTCCTTCTACAAGCTGCGGAGTTGGTGTTAGCTCTCACTGCTTGGTTTATCCTCTGGTCCTCTTCCTCCTCCTCTTCCTCCTCCTCTGCAGCCTCATTGGTGCCCTCCCTGCCCAGCCCTGCCCTGCCCAGTGAAACCCTCCCCTGCCCAGCACTGCCCTCTGCTGCACTGCCCTGCCTACCCTTATGCTGCTCTACCCTGTGCTGCCTTGCCCAGCATCCCTTCTCTGCCCTGCTCTTGCCCAGCGCAGCCCTGCTCTGCCCTGTGCTGATGCCTGGGTTTTATCCACAAACAGAATGGATCAAACTTTGTGGGATTTTCATTTGAAACCTTTCAGTTTTCCTCCCTCTCCTCTGAGCTCCCCAGGGGAGACCTGCCTGAGACCCGGGGCTCGGTTACTCTTGTCTCCCACTGCCCCCCAATCAGCAACTGAACCAGGTCCATTCACTGTCAGAATGTCAATCCGCCAGGGTTCCTGCACCTGATCAGTTTCCACACACATCCCATCCCAGCTCATCCATCTCATCCCGTCCCAGCTCATCCCATCCCATCTCATCCCACCCCATCACTGTAGTGCTTGGCTGTTAGTAAGATCTTTGTGTCTGATCTGAAAGGAAGTGACTCCGTTTAACGTTTCATCTGAAAGACGGCACCTCTGACAATTCAGCCCCCACCACAGCACCACACTGGAGTGGAGTGTCAGAAAGCCCGACTGATCTGTTCCTCCCAGAATCCCAGCCTTTGCCGCGCTCACACAGTCCATGTGGGGATCACACACTATCGAGACGTTATCCTGTGAACCCCGCTTTTTAAATGCAAGTGAGACAGGTTTGTTTTACCTGATGGGATGGGATGAGATGGGATGAGCTGTAGCAACAGTAATAGTGATAGGATTAACTATTGCAACAACACATCAATTAGGGTAAACCTACCATGTCTCACCAGCGCTTGTTATATCTGTTGTGGCTTCTCTTAGGAACCAGCATTGGGGGCGTGGGGTGGGGGGGCATGTGGGCACTAGGAGCAGGAACCCAGGCTGATCGTTCTCCTCCCAGACCCACAACACATCACCCCTGAGACCAGTTGTCCCCCAGGGCAGAGCAGAGCTTCATACCTGGGACGGTCCGGCTTCTGGCTGAGGATCGCACACCTTTGGCTAATGGGGGAAACTGGGATTTTTCTTTGTTGGTCTTTTTTTTCAAAGCAACGATTCCTCACTGAAAGCTTCCCGCTCTCTCCCGTTCTCCCCCAGGGAGCAATGTTGCTCTTTGATTATTTCTGAGTAAATAATAATAATAATCCTGGCATTTGATACAGCGCCTTATCACGTCTTCAAGACGTCTCAAAGCGCTTCACAGGATACACTGTAAAGTGAATCGATTGTGTATTTTGTGGATGAAAATATATATGGACAAACACAATAAATGGTAATTCTATGGGGGAAGTGGGGGGGTTAGAGGTTAGGCTGATTGTAACTAACTATAATTCCTCTGTGTAGCCTGAAGTCTCACACACATGAATCCATTCCCAAGACTTTATTTTGCTTTTTAAGAAACGTTCCCATTTCCGTCAGCGCAGTCTTCTTTTGGGGGAGGGAAGGTTAACTGGCATCGCTTTTCCCACTCTATTGCCCACCGCTGCTCATGCCAGCTGCCTCTGGAGCTTGGCAGGTTCTTCAGTTCATTGGTAATGTGGAGCCAGGTTCCTGCAGCTTCTGGTCTGAGACTGAAGTGAAGAATTTGCTTTGAAATGGAGAGAAAATAGGGGGGAGGGGGATTTCTTACCCTGGTCACCCCAGGGTTTGCTGTTCCCTCTTTGTTACCAGTAAACGGGAAGAGGGATGAGGCAATTGTAAGTGATCAGGACACGGATTCAGGGCTGAGGAGGAGAATGTTTCCCTGGAATTTTACACACTTCTTTGTGTTCTAATAATCCTGTATATAAGATGTATACATGTACCATTGTATAAGTCACTTATATTAAATCAAACAACGATATACGTACAATATGGTAACCCGTTCATTGCTGCTGCTTTAAGGGACAACTGTTGACAAATAGGCGGGTGTTTGAGCAATTCAGGCAGAAACTGACGGGAGGTTTAGCGCTGGGTTCACAGCTCGATGGCCTCTGTTTTCATTTTTAAACTCAATTTGCCATCTTCAACACGAGAGGACGGGCTGGTGCCCGAGTGCCACGAGATGCCCACAATCTGTGTTGGAATGAAACTGGCAGCTCGGCTCGGCTCGGGTTAGAGTGGATTGGCGGGATGGGGGGCGCGGGGGAGCAGATGGAGAGGAGTGTAAGTTCTCTTCCAAGGAAAATCTAGAGTATTTAATCACTTAACCCAGCCACTGGAGGAGGGCGTCATCCCATTGAGCTCCTGCAAGCCAAAGTCCTAACAGGGAGGGTGGTCCGAGCTCGACAATCACCGGAAAAGCTTAGCCAGACAGTGATATCAATGGCCAAGCTATGTGTGGGTTTAGCCGGTTAGCCCAGCAGTTACCCCAACACACTCTCTGGGCTGCCCCCACCCCCACCCAAGCCTTGGCTCTCGCCAACCTGCGCCTAATACTCTCCGGAATTAGGTGAGCAGGAGGGCGTCCCTCCACGGAGAGAGAGAGAGAGCGCATTCCATTCGACAATCACTCTCCGGGGTTTCCAGGTGTAGGTGAGAGGCCGGGAATTCTCAGTCGGGTTTGGAGACTCTTAAGCAGTGGCTGACGGGTTTCCACGTGTTTCCAAAACCAATCGATTAACATTGATCGGTCTCAGAAACTGCAATTTACACAAATTCCCAAATTAGTCACTAACCGTTTCCGCCTCCTCACTGTGTGTCAACAACAACAACTTGCATTTATATAGCGCCCCTCACACAGGGCAGCGTCCTCACAGCCTGCATGCCTGTCTCTGCTCCTTTTCCATCATTAAAAAATAAAAAAAGGAAAAACTTTGATATTTGAATGATTTGATCATTCTCTGAAGTCCCGTTTGGTGTTTAAAATTTATTGTTTCTTAAAAAACAAAACACAAAGTTTCTATGTGGCTCAAACTGTCATTGTTTAACCTGACTTCCTGTTGCTGTAACACTGACTGACTGATGTGTCTAATAAACTGCTCTTCCTTAGAATAGTAATAATAATTATTGCGTTCGATACAGCGACTTATTACGTCACTGAGACGTCTCAAAGCGCTTCATAGAATATACTGCATATATTTTCTGGACGAAACGTGGCAGCCAATTGCGCACAGCAGTGTCCCACAAACAGTCGTGGGTTGAGTGACTAAATTATTATTATTATTATTTTTGAAGCGATTATTACCCCCGGAAAGCGACTAACAACCGGGTTCCTACGTACAGCAAGGCAAACAGAGGCGTGTGCGGAGTGAGGAAACTTGCCTACGGTGTCACGCTGCCTGGGAATCCAACCCATCCTCTCGCTTACGAGGCAAGTGCTCTAACCACTGAGCTACAGGGCTTTGTATGCTCCACACTTCTTCCTTACAATAACCTTTTTTAAAGAATATTTTCTGTTCAACTTGACAATAGCCCTGACAGGAAGCGAGGGGAGAGAGCACAGAGCTCACTGGTGATGGAGCAAACAGTACCGACCTCACCTCCTGAACCATATCCCTATCCCAAAAGGCTGTGGATCCCGGATTCATTCAAATTTTCAAGACTGGGGTGGAATAGATAATCATAATAATCCTGGCGTTTGGTACAGCGCCTTATCGCGTCTTCGAGACGTCTCAAAGCGCTTCACAGAATACACTGTAGAGTGTAGTGACTATATATTTTGTGGGCGAAACGCAGCAGCCAATTGCGCACAAGATGTTTGTTAGTTCAGGGTATCAAGGTTATACCGCACAAGGGTGAGCAATTGGAGTTGAGGTCCAGATCAGCCATGATCCTATTGAATAGTCATTCACACCGGAACAGGCTCGAGGGGCTGACTGGCCTCCTCCTATTCCTATGTTCCTATGACGCTGCTGAGAAGAATGTTTTAATTGTGAGAATTATTTCTGTGTAAAGTACGAGCTATGTTTAATTCCTCTCTGAAGCCAAGTTGCCATGTGCTTCCATGGCTTCTCGTTGGGGAGAATTGGCCAAATCCTGGATC